ACCAAAAAGCCGGATCAGATCCTGTAGGCTTGAAAACTGAACCGTAAGAAGTAAAGTTTCAAGAAATTGTTCAATCTTTATAAATCATAAATTTTGATATCTAATCAGAGGGATATCATGAGATGAGTAGAAGTAAAATTCAAGATAAAGTTATAAGTTATTAGTACTTGTAGAATAAGAATAAGTCTACAAAGTACTTTTCATAAATGAATAAAGATTAAGGTATCGACATATAATAGTCATAAACTCGGGGAAATTATGGAAACCTGAAATAAGGGTTATTAAGTCCGAATTACCTGTAGACTTGAAATCGAACCTTAAAAGATATAAGAAATACATTCCAGATACCGAGATAAGTATTTAAGTTCTCGGAAGAATTTTAAAGTTAAGCAAGAGTAATCTGGAAATGTAAAAGTTAAAGATATACATGTAAAAGTTAAAGATATACATGTAAAAGTTAAAAATGGACAAGTGAAAGTTAAAGATAGTCTTTTTAATAAAAGACTAATATGTTTCTTTGGAGGAAATATTAGTACCCAAAGAGAGATGAGTTTAAGGCCATAAATGAGAAATGGCGAGAAGAAGTAAGAAAAGAAAAAGATTAACCGGAACTCCAGCACAAGCTAGGTGTTTTCGGAAAATTACAAATTCCTTAAAGTTTGGTATAGCTATTTATTAATGGTTATACTGTTCAAAGTTATAAAGTTAGTGGTTTTAGAATGCCGCGAGGCAAAGTTTCAAGACCACAACTGAGTAAAGTTTAAGATCTTGATTAAATCAAGAAGTTAATTCAGTCAGAATCAAGTAGTATTGATGTGTGAATCAAGTTTATTCGAGTAGAGAATATTATACACAATCAATCTACTTGATAAAAATTTCAATATTCTGGAAAGCAAAAAGCAAGAAAAAAAAATGCAAGCACACTGTTGAGAAATTCCTAAGAAGCTAGTACAGTAATATCTGAGAAAGAGTTACAAATAAGCATAAAGGAATTCTCAACTAAGTACAAAGTAAAGTACAAAGTAATAATACATAAAGGGAGGGTGCGTCTCAAGAGCACAAGACTCCATAACTCTGCCACCCAGCATGGCTGTAGTTCATAATGATAGATCCAAAGGATCAAATGCTCGCTTGCGTTTGAATCCTGGAGTTTCCACAGAATCTTGAACGGTTGAGATGCTGTTCTGAAGCTTCTGGATGAGTTCAGATGATGTATTTGCAGACTTGAATATTTCTCTTTGAAAGGGAGATATAAAAGTTTGATACACTCCTTCATCTAGAAATCCAAGCAAGTGGTGGAAATAGTTATTGAAATTTAACAAACCAATAGGTTTGGTATGAAATTTCATTTCTGCCCAAGTAGCAAGGGTAAAGGCAGTCATTAAAGTTCCATATCCACCAGGAAGAATGATGAAAGCATCACAACTAGATATCATGGACATTAAACTGTCATAAATGGAAAGAGTAATCATCAAAGTAGCAGAATCTTTAACGACCTTTGATGAAGTGAGATAAAAAGGAAGGATACTTCTCACCTGAATGTCAAAGCATTTAGCAGCCATTAAGAGGTTGTTAAAGAAGTAGATACTAGTTCCTCCATAGAATATGTTGATGTTATGTTTGCTTAACTCTTTTACGAGTTGGCTTACAACATATATGTTGTGAGGAACATTTACAAATTTGGAACCACCAAGGATGCATACAGTTCTAAGAGGTTGAAGAAGTTTAGAACCTTGAGAAGACTCGGCAGTAGCCATTTATTATGAAGAGATATTTGGCTAAAAGATAAAGTTTCCGTTTAAAGAAGAAAAGAGAGAGTTGCTTTTATAGAAGAAAAGTTCCGACAAGAAAGCAGTTGAGTCTTAAATGACTCTTATCTGTCATAAAGGATAAGATGTATGTACAAGTACAACAGTGATATCTAGAACAGTGTTGACAAACATGATCAGTGGAAATGATATTTTCCAGACTATAAAGTTTTTTCTTCATGTTTGAACAGAAGCCATAAAGACATCAGTTCTCGATGCACATATCCACTAGAATGTGTATCAAGAATCTACTGAATGGTTTGATCCAGAGATTCCTTACTCAAGCCATTCTTGATGAAAGTGATTTTATCTTCTCGATTATTCGACAAGAAGCCTAAAGAAGTACAGCGAGTGTCGCAGTTCCAGCGGGCACATTTATGGCAGCCGCCTAATCTTTTTGCTCTACGTTTCTTGGCAAAAGTGCTTTTACCCATACCTGACAGATATTTGTATGCGTTGGGATACTCGCCAGATACACGGACCTTTGCTTCGATCAACCATCTTATATCATTTCGGATATTATTGAGCATGAGTAGTCTTAATCTTTCTACTCAAGCTCGATAAATTCTCTTTATGATATTAAGAGGAAGGAAAGAATAAAATTTTCGGATTTTTAGCAGTGCTAAATCCATTGGTGAATCGGACCATCATTGAGAAAGATGGAGGGATTACCGAAGGGTTTATAAAGAAAAGATGAGTATGAGATAAGTTGCGAGGTATGATTAAATTATACCGAATAATAGAATGCGCAAACAGAAGGAAATTAATGCCGCAGAGAGGCGATGTGATATGTCAACAATAATGCAAATTGTTGAGCACGAAATGAATCCAGTTTTTACTATCTATTATTGATTCAGTCGGTTCTAGCGAAATTGAGAAAAACTATAGCTCAGACTCGTGCAGTAACATTATTTTCAATTTCAGTAGGACGATAGATCACAGATATTGCTAAGACAGTGTATATTGTTATGCTTAAGATATCCAGTTATTTTGTATGGGAAAAATATTCCTTGAATATCTCCTAGGTCAACGTGATCCTCCATTTAGAAAAGGTGTCTGTGATTTGAAAGAGAATCAAATAGATTATTCTAAAATAACAAATAAATTAGTAGGGCTATTGACATAGTAGTTTTTGTATTTATTGCTCTACTTTTTATCAGGGACTTAAATTTGCTTTGAATTCAAGGATCATCTCCATGAGATTCTTGTTTGATGCATTTTTTAGGCCCAGATTGTTAAACCTAATTAAGCTGGTGTTATATCTGGACAGTCTCATGTGCTTAGCTGACTAGAGTATTTTGGCAATCAGGGGTATCATTATTAATAGAAAACAACATCCATTGAGGATGTTTTGTATGATTTTATTTTTTTTCAATTATGTCAGCTTGGGACTAAAAGGCTATGTTGTTGTTGTTGTTGTATTTCATGAGTTGTGCGAAGTTATCAAGCTGACAAATTTTCTGTTAGCCTTATAATTGTACATCTTGCTATTATATTTTGACACCTCTCGTTTTGTAGGGAGCTGTATACACTGTTAGATTCCTTTGAATAAAGTGGACACACATTTCGGATCCATTTTCTCTACTGCAAGTTCAGCTTTTGACGCTGGCATGTGGATGAACTAAGATTCTAATTCCGATATGTTTTATAGTTTGACTGGTATATGTAAAACGGTTTAAGATGGAAATTCGCCTCATCAGGAATATTTTTTCCCCTTGAATGACTTTTTCAGTCTGTCTTTTTTGCTGTATTGTTGATGATAACCTTTTGAATCTGTTTATGTTTAATAATAATGTGTACCATTACAGTTCTTCCTTTGTTGGCTAGAGCAAATGTTGACTGAATATTTGTTGTATTGCTGTGTTGGAGATTTTTATTTTATTTTAGTTTCAATTGTCTATATTGTTCAACTTCAAGAAAATGGGCCTTGCATCAATTGCCTTTCACAAGTTTTATGTGTGAAAACAGAGGAACTATCAGATTGTGCCCAATGACTACTAAAGTTGTGTCTTTTTTTTGTTTTTTGGACTACAAACAGTTATGTATAGGGTCAAATATTCACATATTGTGTTGATACTGGTGTCATAGTTTTGTCTCATATTTAATTATAGTTTTGAAGTTTATGCCTTTTCTTAGTGGTCTCATATTTTCATCTCATATTTAGTTATAGGTTTGGAGTTCATGATGAGAAAACCTTTTCTGAGAGAGGGTTTTTATAGTAAAAGAATAATGATAGATGATGAACAATACGAGACATGTTCATCTCATTCAATTAGTGTCGACATGTATGAAAGTTCATTATCAAACTCATTTTATATTTTATTGAATCAAAACTGAAAATACTTATGTGATTTTTACCAGTGTCTTTTGACCCAAAACGGACCCAACTCCAAGTCAACAGCACGCAATCTAGCAAAACCTGGGGCGACTCGACCAGAGCATTGATTCTGTCAAACTAAGTCAACAACACGCAATCTAGCAAAACTTGGGGCGACTCGACCAGAGCATTGATTCTGTCGAGTTTGATTCGATAATTTTTTTCTTTAAATATATTATAAACTAATAAATTATATATATTTTTATAATTTTTAAATTAAATTAATTGTCAGATTAAAAAATTGACCTTATGACCCGATGGTTGAGTCGGTCTCTGGCGGCCTACCAGGGTCATTAACCGGTGCGGGGTTCAAACATCGGTTTGTCTTTTACAAGTATATATACATGATCTTTTAGCCCATCAAAGGTATATATCTTATTGGGCCAATTTCCCGTTTCATGTGGGCTCACGAGGAGCCCATCTAATTTATATTCTTCTCCTGAATTGTGTAATGTATTGCAGGAAAATGTCTTCCTCTTTCTTTGTACTTTTCACACTTCCAGAAAATTCCTCCGATTAAAGTTTCATCCTCTGCAATTCTTCTGCTTAAACTGCATAAATCAGGTAACAAGACAAACTCCTCAGTTGATTTTATGCATTGCTATGGTTTTATTTCTAACGTATGCTACGATTGGGGTTTAAGCTCCATGGTCTAGCATTGAAATCAACTCTGTAGTTTGAAATTAGGCCTTCTTTTTTTTGGACCCGACGAATGCTGCAAACTTTGATCGACTTTGATTGAACCAGAACTGTACTGTGTTTGTTNTTTTCGTCATTTTGAGCCAGAAACTGTGTAAAAGTTTTGGTCTTGACGTATGTTCTTACATGTGCTTGTAGTTATGGTGGGTCTTTCTCTTGGAGAGCAAAATTTTATAAAGGGTGGAATTGCGCAGGATTTGCGTACTGATGGTCGTAAGCGATTAACTTACCGACCCATCTCTGTGGAAACTGGTGTCATTCCTCAGGTATAATATACGGCTCACTTACTTCCCATCTGGTAGATTTTATGCTTATTAATCTACTATTGTGATGAATCCGAAAAGGCAAGTGGCTCAGCAAGAGTGAAGCTCGGGGCAACGGACGTTATAGCAAGTGTGAAGGTATTGCCTTTCTCCGTCAAATAATAAATGTGCATCTCGCTTTAGATTGGTTGGGTTGCATTTGTTTTTCTTGGTAATTTGGGAACAGTTTCTTTTTGTCACATAACATTCTTTAGATTTTTCGGAACTTGGACCAACATTTTTTGTATTTCCCTTGCAGGCTGAGCTTGGAAAGCCAAGTGCATCTCATCCTGATAAGGGGAAGGTTTCTATATATGTAGCTTGCAGCCCGACGTCTGAGCCAACTTTTGAGGTTGGATAAGCTTTGGTTTCATTGTGCAAATGAACGTGTGTTTTGTAGATAACTTTATTAGTTGAATTTACGTAAAATACTGGATTGACTGAGCAGGATGGCAAACTATGAATTGTTGTCAGTTTTTAGGTAATTTTATTTGAAAACTTTTCTTTAGTTGAGAGGTGTTGACAACTATGGAAGTCGTGATTGGTTATTAAAATAAATGGAGAACCTTGAAGGATATGGGTAGTACATATGGTTTTGTCGCTGAGCTGAAGAACATGAACCACCTGATAGCTAGTTCTTAGTCATGTTCGCTTTACTATAAAGTATAAAGTATAAACTCATATGCTAATAATGAACAATCTTTGTTGACTTACTTGAATCTTGAAGTATGTTTCATTTTCCCAACATTTCAGTGCTCTACCAAATATCTCCTACCTTTTGCATCGAATAAATGAATTCCAATTATCTAAATATTGCTTTTGTTATCCATTTTTTTTTTTTTTTGGTCNTATTTTTTTTTTTTTTTTTTTGGTCACAAGTTCCCTTGATACTTCAATCACAGGGCAGAGGGGGCGAGGAATTAGCTACTGAGCTCTCATCCGCACTTCAACAGTGTCTTTTGGGAGGTAAAAGTGGGGCAGGTATGAGTGCAAAACAACTCGATGCTTAGTTAAGTTGCACGTTACGTAATTATATTCCATAATGCCAAATATTTTTGCTGTATGTGATTTTTGCTTGCAGGAGCTGGGATTGATCTCTCATCTCTATCCATTGTTGAAGGAAAGATCTGTTGGGATCTGTATATAGATGGTCTCGTTGTCAGCTCAGATGGTAATATACTCGATGCCCTTGGAGCAGCCATCAAGGTATTGTGTTTTACTTCTTACGTTTGCATTTACCGAATTCAAGAGATTATCAATATATACTGTGTTTCCATTAAGTCTATTTTTTTTATTATTAATATTTTTATTGTTTCTTTTTCTAGGCAGCCCTAAGCAATACAGCTATTCCAAAAGTCCAAGTTGCTGCTAATGCCCCTTCTGATGAGCAGCCAGAGGTTGATGTGAGTGACGAGGAATTTCTACAATTTGACACATCTGGGGTTCCTGTTATAATTACTTTAACCAAGGCAAGACATTTTTCCCCAAAAAAATTCTTAATTATATATATATATATATATTATTATTTTTTTGTCTGTAACTAATCAACTATTACATTTTGTAGGTTGGGAGGCATTACATTGTAGATGCAACTACAGAGGAGGAATCCCAAATGAGTTCGGCTATCTCGGTTTCTATAAATAGGCAAGGGCGAATATGTGG